TACAGGCGGATTTTGGTAGCCGAATGAAACTAGTCAAAACATCATCAAACATAATCAAAAGAGCACGCAACATCGTCACCATACCATCTTTTCACTAGTCTGGAATCTTCCTCCTGCAGAGGGACATGCCCGACGTGAATCAAGGGGCACCTCCTTCGTCGGCCTTGGGCTCCGCAAAGGCGCCCCAGGGCCCCCCCTGGGCCCGTCGGGAAGCAGGTGACTTTCGCTGGGCGCCTGCTGGCTGGCCGGTCCCCTACTCGCTGTGCCCGCTGCGCTGGCCCAGGGCAGGCACACCGCCCCGTTTGGGCAGGGGTCGACCGCCCCAGCACTCCTGTAGGCCTACCACGACGTGTTCCTAGGACCCAAACATGTTTGCATAATAGCAAGAACAACACCACCACCAACAACAACAACACCACCACCAACAACAGCACCACCACCACCACCACAAACAACAACACCGACACCACCACCACCAACAACAGCAACCACAACAACAACAGCAACAACAACAACACCACCACCACCACCACCACCACCACCACCACCACCACCACCACCACCACCACTAACAACAACAACAACAACAACAACAACAACAACAACACCAACAACAACAACAACAACCACACCAACACCAACAACAACAACAACAGCAGCAACAACAACACCAACAGCAACAACGCTCTTATAGCATGGCGTCGATGTGTTTAAAAGCACAAGCCAGCCCCAGCCAGAGCACTTCTGAGAACATCGCGCGCGAACCACACAAACATTTTGAGAACACTCTTTGGTGGTCCTATCGGCAAGCCAGGACGCCTCGCCACTGCTTGAACCCATGATCGGCGGCCAGCCCCGCGATGGCAGAACCACACTCTGGGTTTCTTGATAAGCGTGGGTCCCCCCCCGACGGGGGTCTACCTCGCCTCGCCGTCGCGCCGCGACGGGGGCCGGAGCGCCTTCGGCTCGCGGTGGCTGCCCGCGACGGGGGTCGATGTGGGGCTGTCGGCGGGGGTGACGCCCCCCCGAAGCTTAGTCCGGCGGTGGACAAACCTTAAACCACCCTTCAATGAAAACGGCCTGGGACCGAAACCGACGGATCCGGACCCGCAAACATGACGGCCGCGACGCCCCCTCGCGAACCGAGAACGGCCAATTCGCTAATCTGCCCTGGGCCCGCATGAGCAGGCGCTTCACAAGCCAGGAGGACCTTCTGAGAGGGCTCCTCCTCCTCCTCCTCCTTTTCCTCCTCCTCCTCCTCCTCCTCCTCCTCCTCCTCGGAGGTCTATCAACCTCCGATTCCAGGGACCAGCTGCTCATTTCCAGAGTCGTCTCTTGGAGGCCCCTGGGCCTGGTGAGGCCCCCCAGAGGCCCACGGCAGAACGGGGGTCTGGGCTCCCGGCCTCCAGGAACAGGGGCCCAGGCGAGGAAGGAGGAGGAGGAGGCGGAGGAGGAGGAGGCGGAGGAGGAGGAGGCGGAGGAGTAGAATGGGGAGAAGGAGGAGGAGGAGGAGGAGGAGGAGGAGGAGGAGGAGGCTCCCACCGCAGGGCGGGGCCTCCGAGCCCCGAGCCGTGGCGACGACGGGGCGCCTCGGGGGCCGACGCCTACGCCCTCCGATCCGACTTGCTGCTCCGTCGGCGGCCCCCAAGAGGCCTCGAACCTGCCTCCAACGAGGCTCCCGAGAGGCCTCCCACGAGATCCCAGCGAACTTCCAGTGGGCTTCAGGCCCGTAGGTACGCTCCCGCGCAGGGCGGGGCCTGCGGGCCCCGAGCCGGGGCGACGGCGAGGCGCCCTGGGGGGCCGACGCCCCGTCGCCCCGCTCGAGCTGGTCCGCCCTCGCCCCTCTCGCCGCCCTCCGATCCGATGCTTTTTGAACGCCCGAAACGGGGTACGGAAAAAATGGGTACAATGCCCAACAACAAGTGGCGTCCCAAACCAGCAGCGGCCGCTGTTGGGCAGGCGGCCTTCTGTCTCAAATGGACACAGGCCACGGCGGCGCGGACAGCGAGTCCTGCTCACAATGAACGAGAACTGCTGTCGGGCACTGTACCACTGTACCCATTCTTTCCGTACCCACTCCGTTCGTGCAGAGTGTTGCTCCGTCGGCGGCCCCCAAGAGGCTTAGGGTGTTCCCATCGCACCTGAGGACCACATCCCGGGAGACAGCAAGCGTGGTCGGAGCGCGAAGCCGTTTTTTTCACCCTTGCGCGAGCAACTCGCTCCTCCCCTTCCCAAGTGCCGGGTCGGACGGATGCCGTGAGCATCCGGTATGCTACTAGCACCCCGTCCCGGTACTCCAATGGGCCTACCACTAAATATTCTTAGAACACAAAACTATTTTCTACTACCAACTACCAGGTTCTCATAACATGAGTCCGATGTGATAAAACAAGACAGTCCCAGCCAGGCATGTTCTAATAACATATCGTGGAAATTACGAAAGGTTCTTATCCAAAGTTTTGGTAGGCCTATAGGTACGCGTGGACGCTTCGCCACTGCTTGAATGTTGTTCCCATCGTGCATCCCAGAACTAATTTCGAGCACCCCAGAAAGTATCGAAGCGGTGTCGAACGAGTATCGCCTCCTGGGGCCCGACGCGTGAAAGCCCTCCAGTTTCGGTGCTCTCCTGGTGCTCGAAATTATTTCTGGTGATCAAGACTAAACTAAGTTGGGACACCATAACAAGAGGCCTCGAACCTGCCTCCAAGAGGCTCCCGAGAGGCCTCCCACAAGATCCAAACGAACATCCAGTGGGCTTCAGACCCGCAGCCCAGGCACGGTGGCGGGATGAGCCGAAGGCCATTCGGGAAGAATCCGCCGCCCCCTGTTGGCTTGCCACAAGGGTGCCCGGCGTGCTCATCCCTTTCGCTTTTGGTTTTGGTTCTTTTCCAAGCGAACTCCCCCTGGGGCTTCGGCCCGTCCTGCCAGTCACCGGGAAAAGTGCATAAAGATGGTTGCAAAGGGGTTTTCGCCTCCAGACGGCTCCAAGATGGCCCAAGCTGGACTCCAAGATGCCTCCAAGATGGCCTCCAAGACGGCCTGAGACGGTCCAAGATGCTTCCAGATACGCGCAAGAAGCCTCCAAGACGGCCCAAGACTGCCCAAGAGGTGTGCAAGAGTCCTCCAAGACGGCCCAAGAGGCCTTCGAGAGGTCCTCCAGGGGGGCCCGACGATGCTAATATCATTGATGTTCCATAGGTTTTTGAGCGCTTTGCGTATTTGCTCTTTGTCGGCCTTCCGACGACCCAAGATGGCCCAAGAGGCCCCCCCAAAGATCGCCCCCAGAGCGCCCAAGAGGCCTCCAAGATGGCCTCAGGACTGCCCAAGAGGCCCCCAAGACGGCCCCAAGAGGGCCCAAATACGGCCCGAGAGGCCTCTAAGGTGCCCACGGAAGCCTCCAAGACTGCCCTGGTGCACCCCAAGAAGACCCTATAAGTCGGCCCAGAGAGGCCCCCAAGACGGCTTTTGACGGCGTCAGACGGGCCAGGAGCCCACCAAGACGGCCCAAGATGGCTCAGCCCCCAGGAATGCCAGAAGAGCCCCAAATCATTGATTTCGTTAGGTTTTTGAAAGATTTTGGGATTTGCTTCTTTGCGGCCTTCCGACGGCCCGAGACGGCCCAAGAGACCCCAAAGATCGCCCCAAGATCGCCCAAGAGGCCTCCAGGATGGCTCCAGAGCAGCCCAAGAGGCCCCCAAGACGGGCCCAAGAGGCCTTCAAGACAGCCCAAGAGGCCTCCAAGACGCCCAAGATTGCCTCCAAGACGGCCCTGGAGCCCGAGAAGGCCCCAAGTCGGCCCAGAGTGGCCCCCAATACGGTTTCCGACGGCGTCAGACGGGCTAGGAGCCCACCAAGATGGCCAAAGAGGCCTCCGAGAAGCCCCTTCCCCAAGATGCCTCCAAGAGGCTCCCATGTTGCTCCCAGGAGGCTCCACGAGTGTCCCCTGAGGCTCCCAAGACGCCCCCTCTTCCTCCTCCTTCTCCTCGTCCTCCTCCTTCTCCTCCACCTCCTCCTCCTCCTCCACCTCCTCCTCCGCCTCCTCCTGACCTTCCCCGCCATCCTCCCCCACATGTTCCCCGAAGGGTCTCCACAACGGCTGGGGGAACACATGGTCCGATTTAGCTTGGAAGAGCTCTTGCCACCACGCTCGGCCACCTGGGCGATCCTCGAAGGCAGGGGGCGGCGGCGATTCGCCGTGGGCGTCTTCGATGACATGGGGGAAGGCGGCCCCATGGAGGTCCCGACCCCTTCCCCGGGGGACGACTTGTCGTCCCGGCTCCGTTTCTGCTGGCCCCCCCCCGGACCCCACCACGGGCCCCCGAGTGCCGAGCTCCACGGAGTGCACGCCCGGACCGGGGAGGTCATGCGCGCGGAGGCCCGTGAGCGTTCGACGTGGGGATGGGCGACAGAGTTGACTTCTCCCGAAACCGATTTCCCGCCGAATCTGCGGAAAATGCGTCGAGTGCTCCCTAGACGTGCGGAGCGTCCTGCGCATCTCTCGCAGAGTCGACACGGCAAGATCAAGTCTGGGGTACAGTAGGAGCCCGACCACAAGAAACCTCCCACAAGAAACCTCCCACAATAACCTCCCACACGAAACCCAGGCTGTCCGTGGATTTCTGGCGTGGGAAAGCCACGCCTTCCACTGCCAAAAAAGCATCGAAGCCCAAGAAACCCATGGCACCCTGGAGGCAAGCTGGGCGTTTCTTGGCATGGGCCCCCGCTGCAAATCAACTCTGTAGCCGATCCCCATATACCCGAGGCATCTGCCCAGACATGCGAAGACCTGATTTTTTCAATGCGGGGTCCCTGGATGTCCCGACCTTTCCCCTGGGACCGGTTTTCATCCCGCGTCGTTTCTGGACGGTCCCGAGGCCCGGCGAGGGCCCCCCGAGGTTGCAATCGGCCCCAGACCTCCCGTTTGGATTATTCTTACGATCTCCTGCCTGGGCGGTGGCCTCCTGCGAGGAGGAGCGCGGGCCGAAAGCGAGCGCGCGAGGTCACCGCAGCCGCAGCAGGGCCGGGGCCTGCTCCCCGCTCGCGGCCGCGGGCGCCTGCTCGGCGGCGCCGAGGCCGAGGCCACGCGGCGGCGCGTGCTGGGACTGCAGGTGCAGGATGCGGCTGGGCAGCCCCGCGGCGGCCGCGGCCTCGAAGCCCTGCTGGGCGCGGCCTCGGGAGAGGGGAGCAAGAGCGGCATGCGCACAACTTTCTGGCGCTCCGCGCGGGTTTCTCGGATCTGCGCTGGCCCCGGCGCGCGGAGCGCGCCAGGGGCGGCGCCGGAGGCGCCGCCAGGGGGCCCCAGGCGCCGATCCGAGAAATCCGCGCGGCGGAGTGTCAAAAGTTCATGTGCATGGCGTTTTTTTTTCTTCTTCGAGATGCCGCTGCCCGTCCTGGAGAAGCCTCGTCGCCACGGCTGGACGCTCCCGCGAGATCCTGGTCCGAGAGCGCATCGGGGGAGGTCCGGGGAGAACCGGTATTTGTGGGTACCCCTCTTGTGGTCCCCCCCCCCCGCGACCGGTGTTGGCAGCAAGGGCGCTGCGGAGAGACGTGATGTCTTGCCTCGCGCTCTTGGCGGCCTCGAAGGCGCTGCTCGACAGGTCGAGCGCCTTCTGCATCGTCTCGTTCGTCGATGCCTCCCAGGAGCCTCGCAGGTCGCGCTGCTCCCTCTTCAGGTCCGTCAGTGCTGCCAGGTCCCTCTTCAGCACCTCGCTGCCGTCCTTCGCCTCTCGCAGCTGCTCCTGCAGGGACCGCAGGAGCGCGCCGTCCTCCTGCTGCCGCCTCAGGAGCTGGTCCAGCTGCGGCCGCAGGCCGCCCAGCTCCTCCTCGGCCCTGCGGTGCCGCTCCTCGGCCCTCTGGGCGCGGTCCGTGAGCTGGTGCATGAGCGCGCCGTCGTCCTGGGAGGAACGCAGAGCTGCACGGCAGCGCTTCCTCGGAGGCCCGCGCGGACTTCCTGCACCGGCGCCGGCACCCCCCCTCCCTGGCGCGCGGAGCGCCCTGGGGGCGGCGCCGGAGGCGCCGACAGGGGGGCCCGGCGCCGCTCCAAGAAACGCGCGCGGACCTCAACTGGCCATCGCTCGGACGTCCATTCCCTGTGCTTTTGTTCGGTTTCGTGCGTGGCTTTTCGCCAACTGATCAAGGATGCTCCTCGATGGTCCTCGTCGAAGGGAACATGCACACGTCCGAGCGATGCCAGGTCAAAGATATCCTGCTTGTGTGAAGTCGGGATCGTCCCCCCCCCACAGGGGGATTTTCGACGAAACATGAAACATACCCCAAACATAGTCCAAACATAGTCCACAAATAGTCTGGGGACTATTTTTAAAGTATTTTCTTGACCTTTTTGGGGCATGTTTGGGGTAATTACTTATTATTTTTCGTCGACCATCCCCCTGTAGGGGGACACGTCCGGCTTGGTGCTCGTGCCCTCCCTGCCCTCCGAGTCCTGCTGCCTCCGTAGTAGCTGGTCCTGCTGCGACCTCCGGGTCGGGCGAAAGGAGGGGATAGCAAAGGCGGGGTTTGAGAATCAGCTCGCGCAGCTGATTCTCCCGGCGCCTCCCGGCGCCGGAGGCGGCTAGATGTATCGAAGAAAGGAACCCTCCCGTGGGGCCGAAACCAGCTGCATGCCGCAAATTTCGTAACCCCCTCTTTCCCAATCCCCCCCCCTCTCGTCCGCCCCGAGACCTCAGGGCGCCCAGCTCCTCCTCGGCCCTGCGGCCCTGCTCCTCGGCCCGGCGCGCCCGCTCCTCGGCCCGCTCCACGCGGTCCTCCAGCCCGCGCAGCGCCGCCTCCAGCCTCAGGCCGGGCC